TTCACAGTAACATACATATATACAATATATATAGGGACGAGGATATTTAGGATGAATGTCGGTACGAATGACGGAAAGATGGAACGATTGATTATCGATGCGAACGACAAGCGGATCGAGCAGATGTTTAGGTTAGATTAGTGCGAGAGAGACGAATGACTACTTGCAATATACGTTAGATTTTTTAGTCAGGTTGAATTAGGTTAGTATGAATGTGTATGAGTGAATAAAAGGTGACTCGACTACGAAGCGAGAACAATTATAGAGAAGAAGAGTCAGGCAGTGACACAGAAGAATCTCGAAGAGTCGTACAGTGGTATAGTCATACAGTTGAATAGAAGGACAGCAGTGTAAAAAAACTGAGTGCAATTATTAGTTATAATATGACCTTGCTTTTCATTCTACTTTAGCTCGTAATAAATATATTTTATATCTAACATCTTTCTTTGCCAAACTATATGCCCTCTAAATTCTGGCGGCTCGTCCGGGATTTGGTATATACCAGTAAAGCGAAGTTCCAGTATAGTGTCAACGAGTTTTAATTAGTGCAATGCAAATGAGATTCGAAGGTATAGACAACGACGTGCTGAACAAAGACGGCACGATGCTGATAAAAATGATAACGGTATTAACAATCATTGGCACGCAGTGCATGAATCTCACGAAGGTCAATGAATTAAAGCTTGCATCGAAGAAACGAAAACGAAAAATAAATGGGAAAAAGGCGACTTAATAAGACGATTAAATGTCGCTATGATCTTAGACGACGAAAGGGAAGACGATTACGACGAAAATGAAGAAAACGAAGATACCAATAGGTCGACAGTGAGTAGAAACATCGATCGTGACAATGATGATGATGACGAAGACGACGAACCTGTGCCATGTACGACGAGATCGCGATGCACGACGGAATCATCTTGAGAAATAGAGTATGCACCAATGTTAAAGGATGTAGAAGAACAGATGGAAACCTTTAGAGGTGATGAAAATACGAATGTTACACGCTGGATTGCTGATTTCCAAGAGACCGCCGATCTATGTGGCAACGAAACGGTGTATAAAAGATAATTTGGTAAGGTAATTTACGTAAAACGGCTCTTACGGGGTTTTGCGAAAATTTTTGTAAATTACGACAAATGCGACAAAAAATGGCGACAGTGGAAAGGTGCGCTAAAAAAGGAATTTGCGCGTAAAGAAAACAGTTACAAGAATCACAGGGATTTGGGTTGCAGACGCAAAAAGATGGATGTTGCGGCCCTAGGACCGCAATGTCCCAGGTTAAATGGAGGCCTGTTTCATGCCTTTATTGTAAGCATCTCTTATCATGTATAAACTCAGCATCGCCTAACCCACCGCTAATATAAACCATGGCAAGGACCGATATCTTAGCCTCTTAGACGACGATCATAAGAGCCTAAATGTTTAAACAACCATCACCACCGAAAGACGCTGAAGTTAACATTCGTCTCCAATATCATACCAACCAATCAGAAGACAGTCAAACCTTATAAAACTACCGACAAGGCATTCACATCAAGATTCTCTGTTTAACCTCTATCACGACCACATCAAGATTCTCTCTAAACTCCATCACGACCACACATCATCAAACGAGACCCACCAACACTCAGCGTAGGAGACTGTCTACTACTATAGAACTCCTTGCAGTTCAACACTAACCAGGTCTACCTCTATCAAGTTAGAGTAGGCCGCATCCCAAGCAGCATTGCCGCAGCAGCGTAACGGACCTTACAACCCCGTGAAACTCCACGAGCGAGTTGCAGTGTTCGGGATGCAACAATGGACGAATTGTATGATCGGTATATCTACGGAATGATACCTATTACATCACAGGCGAATATTGAATTAAGAGCTGTTATGCGATATATTATCGATAAGGTCGACTACAATGAAGTAAATAAATTCAACCTGTATGATACATGTTCCGTCGCGGAACAAGGAAGACCCGTTGCGGTCCTCTAACAGCCAGGTCTTTAGGGTCAAATAATTCGGCACCGGAATTTTCCTCTACATGCCTTCTGCATGTTTGAGAGCTTTCACTTTTATTCTGACTTCTCGTGTCGCGGAACACGAGATTCCTGGAAAACCCTAATTTAACGAAATTAGGCGACGGCTCTTAAGACTTGACTGACAATAGGCCAGAGGGCTCCACGTGGTCCGCACACGTTGGAAGCTTCAGGCCCTAGCTAGGGACCATAAACGGCCGATGGGGTCACCAGCGCGCGGGTGGACCCAACGTACCTCACCTTAGAGGAGGGTTTCCTCCACTACCGTCTTCGTTTGGGGGAACCTTCCCTTCCTTCAAAGAGACCGATTCGCGGACCAAGGGAACGCCCTTGGTCAAATCAGCCAATTATATTTGGCGAGCTCCCGATTTTTCCTAAGACCGATCTTAGGAAAATCGAGGAGCTCGCTTCTCTTCGAATCGTCGAAGACACGACTTCTCTTCAAAACGTCAACCAGTTCGCTTCCAATCGTCAAACAGTCTTCTTTGAATCGTCAAAGAGTTTAGAGCCTACCTATCGAGATCATCGAGAGTCTATCGTTCGACTCCAGCCGCGATATTCTTTTCGCTCGTGCAACTGACAGTTGCCCAATATTAATTTGGCGGGCAAAATTACATGATCGCGAGACGGCCTTACGTCGACCTCACAGAAATCATTCGCGAAGCGACGCGACATTTGGGTCCTTCGACCGAATAGTGACCTGTGGCACGATACAGTACATCTAATCTGAGGCAGTTAAAGGAAAAATTCGAAACCTATAAGACGGTGAAGAGAATGCGAAAAAACGGCAGAAACACGTCGTTAATTCCACAAAACAGACAGCAACAGCTGCAATATTGTCTAAACGATGTTTTAATCGTGGTTCCAAAGATCGTGAAAATGCGAACTGTCTATTTAAAAATCAAAAGGAGAAAGTGTTTCAAACGCAACGAATATGGATACATTGCGACTAAGTGTTCAGCTAAAAAGAAGTATAAAAAGGAAGTCAATATCGAGGGAAGCAAGTACGTCCCGTTGATCAACATTAAGAAGATTTAGGTGCTTGAAACGGAGGAAATTATTCAAAGACAGCTCCCAGAGGTATCACCATCGGAGGAGTCTGTAATGACAGAAGCAGTGGCAACGCTGAAAAAGATCAACGATCAGAAAGCACGTGAGGTGATATCGACATCCAAGGAACATACTGAATGCGTAGTGAAGGTACGCAAAGGAGTGATCATGGTGTCTGAAGTGACACCGAAGACATGGCGCGAGATTTCGCGGTGGAATCCGATGGTGGATCGTGCGCACATCGCATCGGAGACACTAGAGATCCATCTCTGTAACCGAAGTACACACGGAAGCCAGTGTACGAGTGCTTGAAACAAAGCGACAGGTAACAAAGGAAGGGAAAGAAGACGGTTGCTATTCAAAAATCCCCTGTACCGAACAATATAAAATCCGCACAGAGTTTCCTAGGTATTAATGGTTATTTCCAAAGGTTTGTATCGCATTATGCTCACAACTAGGCCCATGAAGAATTTATTAAAGACGAACGTTTCGTTCAAGTTTAAGAAAGAAGAACACACAGACGTCTCAGTATTTGGTTATGCTGATCCTGTATGTTATACGAGTAGTAGGACACCACTCGAGAAAAGATATACCAATTACGAGTTAGAGGTACTTGTCATGATTAAAGTGCTGGGTAAATTTAAGGTATGTTTGCATACTTACATGTATTTATATAATATTGAATTATATAATATTATATGGTAAATACTATATTTATGTTCATATCATATACGTTTCTATTATTGCAATTATTATTTCAGTTGGAGATCGCTTCGCAATTTCGTTACGTTAATAATGTAAAAGTAATTTCGCAACATTGTAAACGATGACACCGTTAACTAGCTTTCGAGGAAATTAGCTTGACGTAGTAGCGAAATTTTGAAATAAAATTGTGTACCCAATGAATACTGCTTATATTCGGAAATGTAAAAACTGAAAAAAGAGAATGACTGTAGAAATATTATTACCAATTACATACACATGTTGATACTATTTTTATCTTTTTATGATTATCAATTCGTACATAAAGAAACGTTCGATTTAGATTAAGATCTCGTGTATACTAGTGTTATGCTACTAAATATTTTCTTAATATTTGAATATTAAAATAAAATAATATAAAATAAAGCGGCTATTATAATATCGTAATATTTTATCGCTAACATGTAGAAAAGAAATGGAACGTATTTCATCGATACAGTGATAGAAATCATAATAGCATAATAATTTTTATGACCATATCGTATATTCGAACGTTTAGATATAATGTAAATCATATAATCTTTTTGTTAGGATTTAATGAAAAAATTTAGAATGCTATATACAACCCTGAATGTCGGTATTAGCGTTGGATTTCGCAAAACGTCGAGACCTTGGAAAACAAGAAAATTGCGAGTCTCGAGAATTTGAAACCTAAAACATTTTTTCTGTTTCGAAATTGTGGAAGAAAATGAAGAAACCTTCGAATAAAGAGAAAAACAAATTTCTCGGTACATTTGACAATATAAAAAAAGAAAGAATTACGAAAGATCAGGTATTTTTTTATCTTCTTTTGCTCTTGTCTTTGTTTAGTTACAGTCAATAAACATTCGTACAAAAATTTTACCGTGATTTTGATTTTCAAAGGAAAATGTTCCGTTTACAAAATAAACTCAGCATTCCTAGTTTCGCAACTTTCGAGTTCCGAAAGTTTCAACAGTTTCGAAATGTTCAAAGTTTCCGATTCGAGTTTCTAGAAGTTCAAAATTACGACTCACCCTTAGTCATCGCGTCAGTCTCTGTCGCTATTTGGTATTTTAATTTAAAACTTTGTAGCGGAGATATTCTAGGATCTACATTGTAAATGCTACTATACCGAATACATGTAAATACAAGTACATGGAGGTATAAAATGCACGTACTATCGTTGTGTAGACTTACGTTGCTTTTACTCTCCTGCGAATGTTCTTGATACATATCCCTGAGGAGAGCATCGAGGGTTCTTTCCCTTTTTTGGGAGAAAGTCGGAGTGTTGAACGTAGCCTTCTCGCCGTTTATTAACTTCACGAGAAGAAATTCTCGCAGGGTGTATGGATCCTCGAATACTGGCGGACAGGGAAGGCTTGGTCCGAATAAGGGCACGCTTTCGTCGCAATAAATAGCCACTCGCCACCCTTTTCCGTTTTCTTCCGTCGATACCACAGCAAACACATCTGTTTTCGCAAATACGCCAAGATTAATTCGATTGAATCAGCTGGTAAATATTATATTAGAATACTCTCTACGCTTATTGACAAAAATCATGAAACGGAATAATGATTTACGAATTTTTCAATATTTTTTACTTCTCGCCATACACAGATAAGAATTAAAAGCAAGCTTTATGCAAGATATTCGGAAAAATGTTATTGTTTGATGTATAAGATGTTATCTTGTCATTCTATTTTCATTTTAATATACGTATATAGAAGAAGAATATAAAGAACGTATAAAGATTTGCAAATCGTTACTTTGTTTCTTGATTTTTGTCGATAAGTATATATATTGTTATTATTACACAAGACATCTTGAAATGAATATACAAAAATTGGAGAAATTGGTTGGACTGTTAATTTAGCCCTTAATTATTAAAGATGTTGAAGCTTATGCAATTACTATGGAAGATCTCATAGTTCGCTGTTGTTTATTGCGACGTACTGTGTTTACAAATACCGAATAAAGATTGATGTCAAAGCTATTGCGGTTTAAACGAACGCTTTTGAAACTTTGATTAAAAATTCTGCATTCAACGTTATAGCTTTCGCCACTTCACTACGCGACTTTTTTCTTATAATTTACGTATAATGAATTTTTTAATATCGCCTTTCATTAAGTTTCTTCCGATATTCTTCATCTTCCGTTTCTTCATTAATTACGTCTGGTCGCTAGACCGGCCGTGGCAAATCTGCTGTAAAATCCAACTGTACTTGTTTTATACATTGATAACAAAGATATCTAAATCTGACTAGAAAATGTATTAAAAATTTCCTTTTTACAATCATCAATTATCATTTAATTACAATCTTAGTTTACGAGGCTGGTTTCTGCTTTTTTCTTAATAATCTTTGATTTTGCTTCATAAAAAATCAATTAACATAAATATGCAGATTACGATAACATTGTTTAGGTTATGTTAAATGTAACGTCAAAGATAAAATATTCGAATTTAGAACGAACAAAAAAATTACGTATTTATCATGTCTGGTAGTCAATAATTTCATTAACAAATTTCAATCAAAATATATAAGTTAAATTAAAATGAAGATTAAGGATTAGCTCTTTATCTTTTAACTTCAAGATCAGTAACTCCTATATACATATATTTTTTCCTTTTAACATAAGTATTTTAATATTTTTTATTTTTTGATAGAAGGAAGTTTCTTGAGATTAAAATTCTGTTTCGAAAGAGAAAAAAATAATTATAAATGTCTGCAAATTTATTTCTTATAACCGAGAAATATAACATTGTAGGTTATCAATGTTCCCTAAACGGCACCAATGAATTGCACGGATTAGGATGTTGACTATCGTGGAAATCACTAGAGCCAAACATTCGACTTGCTGGTGGCGTCGCACCGCGGAGATCAGTAGTGACCAACTCCGCCACAATTGGTAAACGTATTTAATCTATTAAATAAAAACATTTTTAAAATCTGCAATATTGATGTTGTGCAATTTTTGCAAATTTCTTTCTCAAGGTCATATAAAGCTATTACAGATCGTTGGATTCGTCTTGATATCGACAACCGTATCGCGATGATAAAGATATGTAATCTTATATACAAAAAACGACAATACTTTGAAAGGAGAAAAATTTCTTGCCTATGACAGATTTCGATCTCCTTGAATCGAGTAATACTTTACTCTGACATTTTCTTAGTATAAAAAATAAACAAGATATTTAAGATGTTCAAATTGGCTGAGACAACTCCATATATTTATTATTTGCACGTATTACTATGGGTAATGATAAAACAAAACATTTATTTTGGTATTACAGGCACATTATATATAATTGTTTGTGTAAAATAAAAAATGACGTATGAACATATATACGTAATATCCTATCCCAAGTACAGTAAATATCTCTTATCTGGTCCCCTTTTAATCAGTCTTTGCTTTAATCGACCATATTTTCGTTGAAATATACACAAGGATCATAAAGGATTATAATATTATCACGAAGGAAACTTTAATTAGATGAGCGAATACATTGTTTAGATTGAACTTCGAAATAAAATTAAAAAAAAAGAAATTTTAAATGAAAAAATTTAACTAAAAAATTTTGTTTTCAGAGTTAAATATTCTAATTTAATTCTTCCCGATACCTTTTGATATTAAAAATTTAATATTTCGAGGATATATAATTCTAATACTTTTCTAGTATTATTTTAAGAAATATACAAATACATTAGTTTATATTTATAATTTTCCGATTTTTCAATTCAAAGACCTTGCAAGTAATAATAATAAGTAATTTTATAATTTTTGAACTGTATTTCGATCGTAGACGGTCTACGTATTATTGGAAAACTTGTTTAATTGCAAGTATTGTTTGATAATTGAATAAAAGGTGTATTGGTAAGGTTAGGGAATTAATCAAAGAAAAGTGACGAGAAATGAAGAACTGAAAAATGAAGGAGATCTGCACGAAGATAAAAATGGAAACAGAACAAGACATTTGTAGAGAAAGGAGGCACTTGAAATTGTGATAAGATATATCGAACTAGATATTTATCTATCATTGATATACTTACGAAAAATGTAGCATGATCTTGTTTCGATACATGAATGTAAATCGAAAAAGCAAACGAAAATTGCTGAATTCTTTATTTAATTAAATATTCGGTAAACGTTATTTATTTATGCACATACTGGATATCCAGGATTTTACTTATCAAAGTGCGAGATATTAATCTAGAAACCAAAAGGAGAAGAAATGTCATACGAATTTCACAAATAAACGCTTTGTTATAGAGTTGTAAACGAATGCTTTATGCATGGTACAAGTAACAATATATTTTCTATTACATCATAGGTAACATCGCAAAGGTCAGTCGTGTTTATCTGTCCTATATAGTTATTTGTATTTATCATCTGTTGACATACGATTTTATGCTATACAAATTAATTTAATGAAAAATAATTAAGTATTTATTACTATTTTATTTACTGTTTTCAAATTCTCATTTCAAAACAATATCCTTCGACTTGAATGCATGCTTGCTATTGATAAACAATTGAGTTTATTATATTACTCCTTCATTCAATTTATTATACTAAGTTCCCGTGCATTTCACTGAGTCTCAGTCACAGATCAGATAAACAAAATCGATTTGCAATTATGGAAAATTTATAAGAAAAGTTACTATATATATTAAGCATATAATACTTGTTTGCAACTCTATAACGAAGGGTGTACTCTTTAATAATATTTATTAAAGAAGCAAACTTTATATGACATCGTTTTCCTCTTTTTGACTTTTAAATTAAATTGCCGTAGTTTAACAGGAGAACTCTGTAACACTGTATATTATTTCTTATTAGATATTATGTCCAATTATATGATGTGTAAATAATAAAAAACAATATATATACTTATTATTTTATTATTAATTTATAAACTGATATTTTATATAAAATATCAGTTTATAAATTAATAATAAAATAATATGTATTTTCCAACTAATCATTTATTTGTTCACTGAGAGATTCGATACCACGGGGATTGGTTAAAAGAAAGTCCACTGTAAGAACTTACTTATGCAAATATGTATTATACAAGTTCTTTATTACTGTTATTATAGTAAAATTACAGTGGAAAACTTTAATGGGAAAAGTCAAGAAACTAATTAAAAAATGTTTGCTGTAACTTGTTGAACAAAATGAAATATCTTATAAAAAATTAAATTTTTGATAACTTTTTCTATACTTTTTGTTTGCACAGTATTTCCATAAAACAAATTCAGTCATATGGCTTCGTAAAAAGTAAATGAAGTTTTAATTGGTTTGTTAGCTTGAAATTAGATTCCTATTTTACGTGAATCGAAAATATTCTTATACACTTGAATAATATATCTGTGTTATAACTTTGAATACAAGAGTATATCGGATACACATAAATAAATATATAGAAATAAATTGTAATACACGCATACACGTGTTTCAACATATTGATATTTTATTTGGTATGGTTGTTAATGTATAAGTTATTGTCGAAATTGTCCAGCATTAATATGATTGTTAACATGTAAAAAATATCTGAATATTTAAATTTGTTTATGTAGGTAATTTGCGATACAAACAAATTTTCTAGGTTACGGTTAACGATTAATCTTGGTTAATAAAGATTCGTTTATTGAAAAAAAATTACCAAATTGATATTTTTTAACGATAAACTTTTTTCTGTCATAAAAATATTTCCACCATATGAGGTGTTTTCTTTCTGTATGAGAAAACATGCGATTACGTGAAAATCGTAGAATTGAACAGTTGAGTTGACAGAAAATCATATATATTTGTTTCGCAAATTAATTGCATCACTGTATTCATATTCGGGTATTTTGTTACAATTGCATTAGTAATTACAAAAAATAAAATGGATATATTAAAGGGGACCTTTCAGTTTATGTGGTTAACAATATTTTTACCAAATTTACTCAACGAAAATTACTCGATATTGATTTTTTTTTGTAAAAATAATAGGATCGATCTATATATCATTGTACACAAAAGCAAAGATATGAGATTGCTATGTGAACATACTGTAGCTGTCAGTACAGGTGTGCTGGTCGCATGATTTTGGTTCACATAGTTATCTTATTTGGACGGGGATTGATCCATATTAATTTATTTCATATTGATTATCATATGTCGAGTCGGTTCCATAAATTGGAAAAATTAACAAAATTATAGTATTTTAAATAAAAAGATCACATTCTATGTAAATATTTGATCTTATTTATATAGGATATATAATACAAATTTTTAAAAGTGGAAATTAAGACAATAGTTCAACATTTTTATAAATAATCTACTCGATACCTAATTTACTGAAATATGTGTATGTCAAATTTGATGAAAAATTTTGCTGAGTTGAGAATTGTCAGTGTTACTGTGCTAACAATTTTTACAAAACGTATTGTTTGAAAATAATAAATTTTCCAATATATATTTATTATTTTCACATATTTAAATAGACATTTACGATTTAGAAGTAATTTAAGATTATAGCTCGTGAAATTTTTACAGAATATTTTATAAATTATGTATGAGTAATAGGTAAGTCAAGAAAAAGAAATTTATCTTTTGAAGCTAAAAAAGGTATGTTCTTTTTAGTACATGTGAACTCACATATATCGATACACGTGTATTATAACTCGCGTACCCATATATGATATTTCAATATTCGTATATTAATACGTTTGCAATTGCTGGTGCGAATTCATGTTATTTACGACTCTTAGAATTTCTTACAAGCTTGATATTTTAAAACAAATTCAAATATTTGCATCTTTGTCTTGATGAATTATGTCTTTTGTAAACAGATTTTACATTCCATTCTTATTTTAATCGATTAATAACAATCTAAAAAAATTATCTACGAATGTGTTAAAAATTACCTGGATTAAAATACAAATATATTAATTACACGTGTGTTTTCGATACATTTTTAAAACCATGACCTTTGCTACAAATGCATCAATATATGCGAAAAAATCGAACGCTGTAATAGCTTAATCTAGTTTCTGAATCAGCTTGTATATGTACTTTTTAAAATATTCGTTTCGTAAAATGATTATTAGATTCATTTTTAATATCGTACTCCCTTAAAAGAAGTATTTAATAAATTTCATTTTGTAAAAAGGATGTTTTATACCATGAATGTGTTTATAGCAATACATTGTATTATTATACAATAGTATAATCAATATTTATTTTTCACCTGAATTTCAAAATAAATATAAATTAACACTGAAACTTGTAATGTGTACCTAAATGTGGTATATACAAGATAAAACAAATAAATTGCTTTCTTTAAAGCCATTGCAGATATCAATTTTTATAGATAATTGAAATTTATACTATGAAAATGAATAAGTATATTTAATTATTTCAATAAAAATTTGCATCCACTTTAAATGTTTTACATTTTTCGATAGTTGGTGAATACTTCATAAATCTTCAATAATAGCCATCCTATCTTGGGATATGTGCTTAATATTCTAGGGCTATTTAAAAAGAGAAAAGAAAAAAATTGAATAATACAGAAGTACAGTGAGCATAATTGCATACTGCGTTAATAGCATTTGTCACATTAATGTCTTTTATCTGTATTTATATGAATTTAAAATAGCAGTAATCATATACATAAATTAAAACCATTTTTCTAATATTAAGGAGTACAATTTAGGGAAATTAGATACTAAGGGGTAGATAAGTTAAAAGAGACTGGCAGTCACTGATCTACGATACAGTAATTTTTGTTAGTATTCACAAAGTACAGTTAATATATAAAATACGCATAAAATGTCGATAAAATGAGTGTAGATTAGCCGATAAATTTAGAAAAAAATTTATCAAGTGGTATGCAAAATAAAAAAGATTGAAAATCGCTGACATAAGATACAATAATTTTTGTTAACAATCACTGATAATGGGCACAATCAATGCTATATAAATAAGTAAATATATCAGAAGAAAAAAGAAAAGACGTGTATAAAATGTCAATGAAACAAAGGACAGTCAACTGATAATTTAGAGGAATAGATAAAATTATAGAAAATTATTATTTATTAAAATTATTATTTATTATAGAAAAGATAAAATATATTTGACTTATATCGCACTAATTTTTTTGAATAATCACTAAGTATAGTCAATACGGAATGAGTAAGTATATGTATTTAAAAATATGATAAAACGAGTGAAAATCAGATGGCAATATGAAAAACTTACGGGTAAATTGACTTCTAATGCAATTCGGGTTGAAAGTGTCTATGGCGTTAGGATCGTCCGTGTAAACGATGTTAACGATATCGTTACCGATATGACGCTTTCTCTCCAGCTGTTGCGGGTTGTCCTTTGAGTAAGGAAGCATTGTGCTCACATGATACATCACCTCGTGTCCCGCGTATACCGTATAATAGCTTTCTTTCCCAGTCATATTACCTGCAAATGTTCGCAGAGAAAAACAGTATATTTGTAATCGCATGAAACGAGTAAGTAGAAAAGAGTAGAAAATAAAATTTGAGAAAAAATTTATGTTTGAATTACAAAGAGAAACTTTCATGTTCATTAGCTAAAGCAGAAACACAGTATTCATTCTAGTGCACGATCATTTGAGATAATCTAAGAGAAAAAGTCGTTAATAAATATTTCCTTGTGTCAAACATAGTAAAATATAAATTAGTAACAATTTTTCAAATATTACTTTTTCTTCATAGAAAAATCTCTTTATGAGAATATCCGTTATGTGAATGTTATATAAACAATATTTTCCAATTACTATATTCTATGTATATAAATATACATATTGGTATATATTAGAAGTTGCTCCTGTGGAATAAAATTAGCTCACGATGTTTATGATATGATTAATAGTAATAATTTGCTAATATTATCGTTATGCTTAATATAGTAAGTGTAACGAACATAATAAAAATAGATAAATAACGTTAATTATATAGTATGATACTATAATGTTTTCAAAGTAGAAAGAAGTAGTATTGTACGGATATTTTCCATCGATATATTCATACCTTCGATAATTTTTTGATAAACATTTTTCTGTAGTCGACAACTCCAAATGAATTCAAATTACTTTATCAATTTAATAGTTTGAAAGAATATGCGATAATATCTCACTAACACTGAACATGTGATAGGAAATAAAATCTTTTGATTCCGGAACGTTTATGTTCTATTGTTATATTAATACTTTTTTAGTATAGAATGTACTTTTTTACTTTTTGAATAAAATTATAGAATTCTTCAAATATGTTTTTGTTGAAACGAAAAAAGTTGAAATAAACAATAAAACGATTATAATTACCAAAATGCATGAATAATATAAAAAGTCAATAGGACAGTGCTTTGTTCAATTTCTAGTTTTGGAGGCTTTTTTTAGCAATCAAAACCATTAGAGGATTAATTTATAAATACTTTAATTATAATAACGACGAAAAATAATAAATTTTATTCTTAATTGAATATATACCTAATACTTTGAGTTTTCAGCTTCTCTTCAGCAATTCAGCATTAATTTTTTGTTTTGTAATCATATAAATAAATGAAATCTATTTTAAATTTGTTATCTTCGAATTAATATCGCGTATAACATACATATTATAATATTATATAATACGTTTAGTTTGTCTAAATAATACATTTTAAGTGTGCACGATAACAAATTATACAAACTGTGATAAATTATAGCCCACACAGTTAATTCCTCTTATGTCATAGTGCGCCACCTAGTAGCGACTGCGGTAAATACTTACTGCAGCCTTTATAGCTGTTAATTTAATGCTATGGGAATAAAACTGTAGTGACTTTCTACTGACTGAATAATTCTTAATATTCCATAAATTATGGTTTCATTCAGAAGACGTAATGTGTGAATTTGATGTAAGAAAATCATATGTATTATATAGTCCATTCAACACAAGTAAGTTATTGAAAACTTTTACTCTTATATTATACCAAATAGCTAACAGTTCGTGAAGGAGGTTATAATGCTAAAACTTTGCAGACACTGAAGGAAAAAAGAACTTATATCAATCGTTTCTTTAACTGTTTGCATTAATTAAATTTTTTGTGTGTTTTATAAATTTAAATTTCTTTCTTTCATTGCTTTTCTTACGTGTTTTTCAATGAATTCATATTTCCAAAAAAATATATGTCATAAATACGTTAAAGAATTGCTACATTTAGCCAAGAAAGTGACTTTTAATACAGTCGATACTACAATATTATAATCGATACCACGATAATGCAATAAATCGAAGCATGATTTGTAAATATGTATAGGGTGAGTAATTTAAATATACCACACAAAATTACTTATAAATTGTTTTGTGAGAAAGCAGTATTCTTTGATATCAAGGAAGCATATAATATAATAATTATTATATATAATAATAATTAATAATTTTTTAATAATATAATAATTATTAAAAAATTAAAATTATTTGTTACTTCGTTTCTTCATCGCGATATTTATCGTGAAGGTCCTCTTGAGTTTTTCAAACTATAATATAATACAATATTTGACCATGCGATTCGAAAGACTATTCAAGAATGTACGAACAAATGAGTGTATTAAGCGGTTTATATTTTGATAAAAAAGTAAAATATCAAAAAAATGAATTAATACATTATATGCTCTCCTTGATACAAAATCAATTTTGTTGGAAATATTTTTTCACATAATGAACTATTTACAAATAACTTTAGATGGCAGATTTAAACGATCACCCCATTTATATTGAAAGGTGGGTAAAAAAGGTATTAATACAGATAAAATCAACGATCGAATTTTTAATATTCTTTTCCCTTTTTTAAATAAAACTTTGTAATGGTATAAAATATAACGAAACTATTAATACAAAAAATGTTTCGCTTTAATACTGTGTCGCTTCGTTGCGAAAAAGATTTCGAAAAAGAATTATATTCAGATCATATAAAAATACTGAAATTTTGAGAACCTATTTGGTTCCCTTAAAAAGATTTCTCGTCCATACAAAAATTGCTCCATGTAGAACTCATACGATCAAACAAAATCAAAACTTTCTGATAAAAGTTGAATAACGATTACAAAATAGAATAAATATTAGGTTCGGTAATAAGTTCGTTTCTTTCAGGGAAATCAAGGTATCGTTACTTTTACACGTGTTTTATAAGTTTCAATATAATTTTTGTTACCGTGTTTTATATAGAAAAAGTAGGAATATTTTTATGAATAAAGCTCATGGTTTTTAAAAGCATTATTGAAATGTTTAATAACGTAATATAATATTGTATTATAATATTAAGAGCAAAAATGTATATTACGTTAGATTTATGTTTATAAATATCAACCATACTTTGGAATGGAAAGATACAGAGACATAACGTAATGTCGACCATTCATTAAAGTTATTCAACAATTAACCATGTTACTTATCTACATGTTTGATGAAAATTTATAATGAAAAGTATATTTTCAGTTCCACATTTAAAACCATGCATTTTCGTCGAATATTTAGAAATAACCTTCTCTTCGGTTCTTGTAATTAATTATTTTAAAGATAGATCTCAAAAGAAACAAATTTTACCCAGAAAATTTTTTTCGATCGTTTAGTATAAAATTTACATATTACATATTGCTACTTTCACGTTTCAAATATAAGGAAAGTGAATTTTACGAATGATTTTCAACATTAATGGTCTATTCGCGAGTTGAAATATTCTTTAGAATGCCGTATAGCATCACCGAACACCGTATAGCAAATGAACTTATTATTTAGCCTAATATTTCATTGACATAGACTAAGATTCATCACCGAACACCGTATAGCAAATGAACTTATTATTTAGCCTAATATTTCATTGACATAGACTTTTAAACTACGTGTAAATAAAGTAGATTATCGTAATTGAAATATTTGATTACTTTTGTATTTTACGCGTTGTTTTATTTAATATATAAGCCTAATGTGAAGCTTGAAAGTATTGATTGGAAATATTAGCGATGATTGATGCGAGTGTCTGAATTAAAAAACGCGAGGTTTTCGACTAAAAATGTTCCCTATTTAATTTATCGATTTCTCATTACACGTTTCATTACACGATTCGTCATTAATTTTTCACTACGTGTTCAATCATACAAAGACAGTTTTATGCCTCCAATCTCGAAAGTGTGAGGATAGCAGCAATAGTTACCAAACAAGAATTTAATTCTGTTATATTTCTGTAAATAATTAATTTCGAATAATCTAAAAAATTTCATTCTCGAAAATAAATAAATTTCATAAGTAAAATAGAAATTTGTATTTTCTATATATTTTTTAGATAATTTTTTATAGGATTCTATAAGATATAGAATGATACGAAATATCTATAATTAATTGAAAGTTTTTCTATATCATTTCAGATCGGAAATTACCATTTATATTCGAATTAGTAATATTGAAAAGTAATAAGCACTATATATTTTATGTCCGTACGTGTATATTGGAAAGAATGAAAAAAGGAAATTCTAGCGATATATAAATGGTACCTTTTACGTCTAAACCACCTCGATACTTGTCCCAGTTCTTCAGTTCTATCCTCTCGCCCAGGATTTCGAGGAACTTGTCAAATCCTGGACTACCCTTTTCTGTAAATGAAGCACTATATAGAGAACTCTTTTCAACGCTTTTTACATTTCGTCCCTTCAACAGCTTACATATTTATATGTCGAATATGCACTATAAGCCGTGGATAATTAAATTTTTCGTCACATGGAATAAACGTAGAGTATACGTAAAATTATAATATCTTTTATTAAACTCGCTTTCTATTCTACTGATTCGAGTGAACTAAATAAAAAATACTTTTACAACTTTGTGACAAAATATTTAAATCAATTGTAAGTAATTTTTATTTAACATTGAAACCAAATTGCAAATCTTTCACTAATTTTCCAATTTTTTGTGCATTTTTATTCGTTAAGAATTTCACGAATACTACTTTCTATTAGAATGACGACCAGGAACAAAAGAGAATAAAGAAAAAAAAAAGGAACAAGTGATGTGTGTCATTTTCAACTGCAAACGAGAGTTGTTGCCATTGTTGTATACGACCATTAAAGTTTTAAGGGTTGGTCGATCCGTGAGTTACAGTTTAACTTTTTATCGATTTACCATTAGACAGCATCTCGTCGTCGGTTGTTTGCCCTTTCCTTGCATATATCACGCCGAACTTGAAGTTGACAGAGCCTTCCTGTTCTTCCAGCAGCAGGAGATCCTATAATGCGGAACTTTGACAAATAATCCTGCCATTTATTTCAAGTTTATAGGTTTCACCATATTTACCAGGTGCAAAACGTTCATTATTAGAACTACCGATTTATCGTACACTTATTGACGAAAGTTAGGAAACAAAATAATAATTTCCAAACCTTCCTATCTTAATTTTTTGAAATACGAGATATTCGAAAAAAAGTTTATCGTTTATTTATATGCAACATGTTATCTCTCCATCCCATTTCTCATTTTAATATATGCGTCTCGGAAGGAAAAGACTGTACAAAAATTCTTAAATAATTATTTCGTTTCTTAACTTTTCTCAGTGAGCGTACATATTATAGATAATGTTAATTGAAACAGGATGATTGGAGAAGGTAAGTATATATTATAATTACTGTCCATTTACCAGAAGATGGCCAGACAAAGAAATGTAGGTCTGATTGGTTATAGCGTAGAATCATCTTCCACGACACAATTATAAATACAGTAGTGACGCTCGTATTCGTGCGCCCATTATCCGAATAACCTAATATACAGATATCGAGGTACAATAACAATGTAATTCTACGAAGCCATTTGCGACAAAAACCTTATGTGACTTTGCGATTAAAAAGTTAACCTTTTGCACTCGACGATGTTTTGGCTAGAGAAGAGTAGAAATTCAAAGATTCTCTACTAAAATACTGACAATACCTTTTTCAGCACTAAATAAAGAATTGTATAATAATAGAATTGTATAATTATTTGATTTCGATACCTCGCACACTGTGACATTACATTAAATTTGATATATTAATTAATATCGATCTTCAAAATTTTATGAAATGGTGACTGAAGCTCACCTCTCGAGTGCAAAGGGTTAAAACTGTTAATTTTGTTAATTTGTATAAATGAATTTTTGTATAAATGAAGTTTAATGCAAAAGAAAGTACGTGTTCTATTATCTGAAAATTTCACTGTTAGTTCTGATGTAGAAGTCACTACTATATTTCACTTTTGATTACAAATTCCACTGTATGCTCTAAAATGATATCGCATCTTACGATTTTTAATGTTCTTTGTGTAACTTCAAAACGAACGTACATTTGGCAAAACGAAAATCGTATGATTATAGATCAAATTTAATTTTTCAATACTATATGAGCGTTATTGTCAAAGTATTGGAAACAAAATATTATTTTTGAAATATTTTTGTAGATATTGCAAAACTCGATTACACTTTATTTATTTGTTTCTGAAATCTAACATGATAGGCAACATTTTGTGGGCAGTATCGAATTATGCACATAATGGCGTACGTAAGGCAGAATACGCGAGGAATTTCCAATTCGCGAACAACAAATTCTCGTTGATTTAATTTCTCGTCATACCTATATTTCGCATACGTATATTTCTACATTTTCTACCTATGTAAGATTTGTATATATCGCACTAATGCAAAAAAAACAAAAAACCAAAAAAAAACTGAAAATCTGATATGATGTGTTATCATTTTGTATACAAAGTGATCCGTTCGTATACAGGGTGATCCACGTAAATTACTCAAAAACCGTTTGTTATATGAAAAAATGGTTTAAATAAAAGTTGCACTGTACGAAATGAGGTATTTACTATCACTTTCATTTTATATCCAGATTTACTTTGTATTGTTTAATCATAATGCATAAAATTTGACTGCTATTTGAAAGGATATGTAAAATTGAGTAAGAAAATGAAGCAATATGGGTCTGAAAACTAATACCGACCGAGATATCCTTCGATGTTTATTTAAAAAATACTCAAAATACTGCTCACTTTGATTAAAGTATTATTTAAACATCATCTAAATAATACCTCGATTTTGAATCTTTAACTTTTTAGATCAATATTACTTACAGTATCTTATTTGTCCGTTTTATATACACTTTGAATATCAAAGTTAAATTTTGTGCGTTATGATTAAAAAATTCAAAGTGACCCTCAAGTCTCGATAAGAAACACAGGTAGAAAAAAACTAATCATAGCAGTAGATATCCTGCTTCATACTTTGAAATTTTTGTTTGAAGCATTTTTTCCCATAATAAACGGTTTTCGAGCAATTTTGGTGGCAGATTTAGGTGAACCGGATGGTATCGTGTATACGTTGATCACATAATGGTTGGGTGATACGAGAGGAAAGCTGGTTGAGAACTGCCGGGACAAAGCAGTAAAACATTGGCGTAGACACAGGATCAGTGATAATTATCAATATGAGGACAAAAGAATGTGGAATTAATTTTTCCTACTTCTATATCAGTGTACCTCACAAAATGTTTCGAAATGGGATTTTTATTGAAGATGAAATTGGAACAAACATAGTTTTTCTCTTGCCTCTACACGGTCCCATTATATGCTATATCCCATAGTACATTTCTATCTCAGACAATATAATTTTCAAAAAAGCAGCTGTATTCTTTTGACAACTGCAAATATAAAATCTCTAAAACTAGTCATTTCGATTCTAGTCAATAGAATATTTGATTTAATCCACGAGTAAAGATCAACAGAGTGTTTCGTGAGGTATTTGGCATTTCTTTACGATACAATAAAGAAATTTATGTACAGACTGTTTCATAAGGTGTGGAATTTCAGTTGTGAGCCTATGGTATAAACGAAATGAAAAAGATTCGTACAAATCTGGATCGTGCTTAATTTTGTTCTCGAGTTAGAATTATATTTTTATAAATAACCTGCAAATTTTTACTCGTACAGAAAGCGTTTAAAATGGTCATTTCGAGTTATTTAAATTCAAGCCTGTAGTTGATACGTTATTAAACTTTCAAAGAGTATGACGATTTATTTTCCTTGAATCTGGTTCACAATTGAAGACATTTCTGGAGAAAGGATCTATAAGCCAAAATGGCGGATCGAGTAAATCGCAACAGATGTTTTAATTCTAACAAAGGTTTTCCATTTATCACATTAAGTTTAAATTTTGGGAAAATATTTTTGGACGATTATAATTATCTAATTTTTATTTGTATTTTAGAGTTGTTCCAGAAACGTCTTCGATGTTAACGTAGATTTTTAATGTATTTTGATTTATGCTAATGTCAAAGTGTACCGAAATACATATCTGTAAGTCGTCTATGAATACGTTCGAAATTTGTCGAACTTTTCGGAGCAGTTCTGGTATCTGTACAGTTTCGTGTACAAGTTTGCAGTTTATATGCTATCTGTTATACTATCTCAGTTTGTCATTAACCCTTTAAGTACGGCCAAGTAACCGTTTGTGCGCGTGGCTAGGGATAAGCGGGCCATTTAAACCTTAAGTGGCAGAAGTCCTTGTTTCTGACGCCATAGCCTAGACTTAGGAGATATTTACTCTGATTGTGGAATTAGACAAAAGCTCTATTTATACGCGTGCACTCCTATATGCCTCGTACAATAAGGACTGTACATAATTTTACGGAATTGTTAGAACAGAACAGGTCTTTATGCAGGTGTAATATCCAGAAATATACAAGATACGTGCAACTTACATCATGAATAAGATAAGTATGAAAATTTATTTGTTGTAATTTAAACTACGGTATATTACAATGGCTTCTTGCTAAATTGGCAACTGTAAAATCGTATCTTTTAAAATCGTATCAGTTAAAATTAATTTATAAAAGCCATTTAAATTTGCAATAATACTGTGTCTTCATTTCTCGCAGTCCTTTAATATTTGCATTTTTTAAAATGTTATTAATTTTATACAGCATATTAAGTTTACTCCCTTTTTATAATACGTTTACGTGTGTATTTTACAAAAATGACATTTGCGTTTAATCTTTAATTTAATTTAATTTAATTTAATTTTTGCTTCTAATAATTTATGTATTTATATAAGAAATGTCTAATATGCAAAATATGCGAGATAAAAAGTTTAACGCCCCCGAATATTTAAAAAATTTTCTAATAATAAAACTAATTTCTGTTCAAAAGGAAATACATAAAAAAGATACACGTTTACGTGAATATCCGCTGTTTAGTTATTACAACTAAATGTATTCACTGACTAGAGGTATTTTGAAAGTTCTTTGTTAGGTACACGTAGTACTTTAACACGTTCCTTGCCACGTGGTTCGCATACTTACTATTATACATACGATTCCTTACTTTGTTTTAAACCAGTGATTTTCAATCTTTTCCATTTCACGACACACGTGAACCTAATTATTAAAATTCTATGGAATTCTATGACAGACCAACAAATATGTTAGATTTCTTATTAATACGATACAAAAATAAATATAATTTTGATTCAGTTAAAAAAAAATTATTTTTTTTTTAATACTTTTTATATTTTTTAATAGCACTGTAGTAATACTCGAGGAATAAAATATTGAAATATGTCACTTCTGAATTTAGGAATTTAATGCTTCAAAAAATATATGTATTAAAACTTTGGTACTTTTGGTATTCTGCAAGATTTACATTAATGTTATAACTTAAATATTAAAATATTAAATATTATAAATATTAAACTCTAATTTTTAAATTTATTACTTATTGGGAGCGAATTGTTGCCGTTAATGACGTCATTATGTTTATGCCATTAAAGAATATAAAAAGTTTTGAAAAATATACCTCAAAATGAAGTTTAGACGATAGTTATATTAATAATTGCCACTATGTGTTATCTTTTAAAATAACTACCTTCGATTAAATAGCAAAGTATCGTATATATTTTAAAAATTCTTAAATCTCATCTTCAAATTACTACATAGTACTGGTTCAAAATTACTGAATTAAACTACGTAACTACGATGATAATTTCTTAAAATCAAAATTTTTATACTGTTCTGTACTATATCTTAAACATTACATCTTTTACTTATTTATTATGAAGCTAAATCATCTATAAGTAAAACTATTAGCTTTAATAGTCAAAGTCTGAACGTAAAATCAGAACTGCTTTACCAAAAAATGCTTTGAGGAATTAAAAATAACTGTAATATGAATATAACTCGAGAAGGAAGTCAATATCATAAT